GTGTAACTTTCCAGTTTTGCCCATCAATCTCCAAGGTCCAGGGCAATACTGGAAATTTGGTCCGGTTCAAGGATTCAAGTAATCCTACACTGCATGTGCCTTGGGTCTCACCCTGGCGGCTGAGACAAGCCACCCCAACACTTGACAGCACACCAGTGTCAGCCTTGGCAGGATAAATCTCCCCGGACTTATCCAACGGCTGTGAATGTTCTAAACTAACACGAGTCTCATTAAGTGTCAAGTTTAAGGGTCTTACACAGAAATATACCACACAACATGAATCAAACATGTACTTTATTTATTTACACTAAAAGTCAAAAGTACATCAAAACTGATTGGAGCTAAGGGCATACAAAATTGTCTAACACAAACTGTAAGAGGTGTAACCGTGTAAGTCTCTCAAGCACAAGGAGGCTTATGCCTCCTTAAGAGGACAGGGATGAGGAAGGAGGATTTCATCTTTATTTTTGGTTTTATGAAAGATGTCTTAATTAAGAAGAATGAAGATGCATAAAAGAAAAAACAAATAGGGCTGCTTTAAAAAGGTGATAGGTTCACCCCCTAGCCAAGGGCCGCCCCGACCCAAACTTTCTTTTCCGTTCTCTTTCCTTACCTTCCTTTCCTTTTTCTCTTTTTCTTCTCTTTCTTTATTTTTTTTCTCTCCCTTCCCTTTCTTTTCTTTTCCTTTCTTTTTGTCTTTTTGTATGATGCATGCATGAGGCGCATTAGGCATGTCTCAGAGGCATCAATGCCTCAGGGTGTTTTGGGGGCACCTTGCCTCCAGGCATACACCTCCCATGCCTTTTAAAACACCGATTTACCTAAATGTCCAATAATATTTTCCTACTTCCACATCAATGCTTCTCCTTCATGTACTCGATTATTATATTGCAGCCCCTCTCTCTGTCTCTCTTTCTTTGCAAAAGGCATGCACAAGGGCACTGAGTTTTCTATCATTGGTATCATTCTTTATCAATTTACTCATTGCAGAAGGTTATTAGAGAAGCATTTAGCTTATATCTGGATCATGCTATGGCTGTTTTATTGTTTGAAATAAAGTTAGGAATACTGGTTAGGATGCTATATTCATAGTCTTACTAGCAGGGACCCGTGTGATGCACGGGAAAATCTGAAAGATTTAATAATTTTATTTTTTCATTTAATGTTGATTTATAAAAATAATTATTGTTAATTGAATATAAACAAATATTTTTTAATAAATTTAGTTTTATTAATAATTTGTTGTAATTTTAATAATTTTTATTCTTTTTATTATTTTAAATGAAAATTTGATTAATTTTAAATAAATAAAAATAATTATAAAAGCTAACATTTTTATTAATTCCATTAATAATTAACAATTATATAGGAATGACAACGGGGTGGGTTCAGGACAGGCCACCCCATTCCTTTCTTTGCCCCATAGTTAAGACGCTCTACCCCATCCCTACCCCGTCCCCAGTGTCACACGGGTTCAGGGCAAGGTAACCACTCAATGTCGGGCGAGTTCAGGGGCAAGGCACCCCACTCCTCATCAAGGATGGAGAATCCTCGAATTTCCCTGCCTCGTCCCCAGTATTGGGCAGGTTCAAGTAGAGGTGTAAATTGGGTCGTGTTGGGTCGGCATGACAAGACCCCCATGTGGCCCGCACAAAGTGCGAGTCGTGCCGTGCTGGCCCACAAGACGTCCCGAGCCGTGCCTCCCTCCTCTAGGATAATTTGGGGGGTCAGTTTGGCACGACCCACGACTCGAGCCCGCATAGGCCCGTGCCATGCCGTGGGTCAGGCGCTCCATGGGCCAGGCCATGCCGCACACCAAGCCAAGCTCAAGGCAAGGCACCCATGAAAGAATGGTAGGATCCATCGTATGGACGCCAAAAAGGTTGCGGAATGGGTGGGCGAATTTCAAAAATTTCCTACCTTTCTTCCAACTGGGAATCGTATTCCCTAATTTTAGAATCAAAATTCAAGGATCCTACTTGAACCAAACCAGACCAGATTTGAACCAAAAGAGAAGGGAGGGATTATACCTGATTCAGAGAAGCAGTATCTCCCAACGTTGGTGTTCACACTCAAAGAAGATCCCAAGATCAGATCCCACTGAAGATGACACAGTGATGATGGAGCCAAACCAGCAGTGTTCGTCCCATGAACCAGGTTCTTCTGAAGAACTCGATGGAAAACTGTAACCACCACACGAACAATCAAGAACCTTTCTTGATCTTCTCTAACTAAGAA